GTTGTCGAAACTATGTATTGGCTATTCGGAGTCTAAGATAGAAATGTCACGTTTTTTTTAAAGCAGTTTTTAACATGCGTTCAAATATTATGAGAAATTTAAAAAGCGATGGTATACTGTCATTTTTTAAGAAATTTGGCACGCAATTTGAGAACCACGTGTTTGTTTTGTTCAGTGTCGTGTTGTCAAATCGTTTGTTTATGACCCTGTCGTTAAAAATAGCAAAATTTCAACCTCTCAGCAAATCTTCTTCTAATTACGTTCTCTTCAAAATGTAAAATGTTTGCGTTGAAAAAATTTATATTATGATTTAAATTATTTATTTGCCCGGTTAACATAGTCTTGAATTGTTTGGTATTTTTTGAGTTATTTTTATGTTGATGATTGCGTTTACTCAGGTTTTGGCTAGTTTCTCCGATATAAAAAAGTTCGCAAATAGAGCAATTAATCTGAAATACTAAGTTCCTGAGGCGGTCAGAAATAAACTTAGAATTATGTTGTGAAAAAACGGAACTGCCAGGGTGAAGGATTTCTTTTACCCCACCCAGGTTCATAAAGGTTATATAACAAAAACTGTTGAACCTTAAAATTGACATCTTATAAAACAATTTAATAACGTATACTTAGAAATTATATTAAGGTCTGGAAAACTAAACAACAGTGCTCACAAGCAAAACAAATGACAACGAAAGAAAATACTTTTGTTATGGATTTATGAACATTGTTGTTTTTCTCCCGATAGCAACGTCGTAAAAATCAAGGTGGTGTCTGCTTATGCATTTTTTACCCGCTACTATCAAATATTGTTGTTCACAAATTCTTTATTTTACTGGTTTCTAGGTACCGGTGGTGGATCTTTTTACCCGAGCAGCGATGTACTCTATAAATGTATGTGTTTGTATGTATATGTAAGACTAATTTTAATATTTTCCACAGTCGCCTATCGTAATAAAATTGCTATAAAGCGACATACATATTTATCTATTAAAAAGATCAGTTTTTATGGTAAAAGCTTAGTACGAAAAAAAATGTTCGGAACGATAATGTCTGTGTCGCATTTCCAGTATTCCACTTGTTTCAACAATAAAAATGACATGTGCCCTTAATTACTACATCGCTCAGCCGAACGGGGTTGTCTATAATTTTATATCGAAAATATCAGGGGTCGATAACCGAAGGGTCGTGGCCTCTTGATGGATTTACGAAACAGAGTTTGTTGCACTAAATTCGAAGTAACTTTTACTAGTAAATAATAGTTACAAGTTGATCCGTGTTCTCGAAATCGCCGACCATAATTTGTATCTGCACACACACACATGCATCCATTTCTTCTGGTATGCCAAAATATTCAAAAACCTCTGAAACGTAAAGATATATAAAAATTTTCATTATCGATTTTTTTGCGATTACTATTACTTACCCTACGGGAAGTTAATTATAAGGTTTCATATGAGGATTAATGTTTGATAATATGTAAAACTAGACGTGAGTGGCATTTTGCTTTAAGGAAAGTTTTATTAACTTTACGATATTGATTAATAATCGAATGAATCAATTTAGTGAATTCAGATTTAGTAACTTTTAAAATTGCCGCAACACAATTTTTAAAATTTGCGTCTTTCAATCTTCAATATTTCAGAATGTTTTTAGAATCATGAACCTTATCACATTAAAAAGTTTCATAAAAATCGTCAAAAAAATTTGTTTCAACAGTTGATTATGAAGAATCGTTCGACCGATCTTTACCCAAAAGCTGCACGATTTTCAGCAGTGTCTCCTGAACAGTTTTTGAACATTTTTCAGAAGATTTGGCATATTTAGCTAAAACATTTAATAAAAATTCTGTTTTTTTTTTTGCTAATTATGAAAAAAGGCTCGACCGATCGTCGCCTTAAACTAAACTGACGCAAGTCCTAATCGAGTTACATCAAATGTTTTTAAAAAAATTCAAAACTGCCCAACCGTTTTTGTGGAAAGGTCGCCGAAAAGTCAAAAATCGCCTCTCATATTCATACACATACTTTTTCCAATTTTTGTAAACCATTTAGAATTACCTGAAACATAGAAAATATATAAAATTAGCGAATGTTTTTTTTTTTTGTGAAAGCGTTAAAAATTGCGAATTTAACTCGACTTCAATTGAATTTTCAGGTTTGCTGACGTAGTTCAAATGTAAAACAAATTTTGTACACCTTGCCAATCATATATTTAAAATAGTATTTAAAACCTAAGATAGAAGAAGTTAATATGGTTCTCTAGGATTAATTAATATCTGAAACATATGCAGTTTTTGATTGATTTGTAATAACTCAAAGTAGCTGAACGAACTGCAATTTGATGATATCATCACTTTACTTACACTACTTTCTACTTATTACAGTACTTCATTTTTATTCTAAACGTAATAAAATTATTGTGTTGGTATTTGAGTAAATGACTTTGAATTTTATAATAAAATTTTAATATTTTTAACATACTGAAGGAGAAATTTGTTTTTATCAGAAATCCGATTTTGCTAATTTTATGTTTTCTCGACGTTTAAAGCCATTCTGAATCGTTCGAGATGAAAGTATATATGTGACTTTTTTGTATAGCGAAGAAAATGCATTTAGGCATCCCAGATCGGGTCTTTTGTCGTGGTATATCGGCCTCAATACCGCTTGTGGTTATAAGTTATAGTAATGGGCGCAAAAAATTTTTTTTGCATATCTTTACGTTTTAGGGATTTCTGAACATTTTGGCATACCCCAGAAAAAATGGATGCGTGTGTGTGTTTTGTATGTCCGCATTAATTCGTCCTCGTTTTCGGGCGCACGGATCAACCGATTTGAATGGTTCAAAAAGCATTAGATTCCTATTGATAGAGAGAAGTGCTGATTAGTTTTTGGCAAAGGCAGATCCAGTCGTAACGGAGATATGGAGCAAAGAGTGTAGAAAATAGAAATCGAGTTTTTGAGAGAACAGTAGGATCTGATTTGAACGATCTAAAAAACATTCAATTTGTAATGATTGCGAGACATGGCGATTAGCATTTGGCAATGGATTCGGAGCTAAATGTGTAAAAAATGGCAGTTTTTGAAAGAGCTTCAGCAATTTGTCTTAAGACAGAATGCAATGCATTACTAGTTAATTTTTTTATTGTGAAACTATTCTTAATATAGTATATATAATTATATACTATAAAAGTTATTATTATATTTCGAATAAGATTGCTGATACAAGATTTCCATGCTTAGGTTATGAAAATACAATTGCATTACTCAAACTCGATTTTTCCGATCAATATTTTAAATTTTCGCCTAATAGCATTTTTATACAGTTCTTCGAAAGCTACACGTAAATGTTTTTATAGTATTGTTTGAAATGACCCATATTTATTAATGATTCAACGAATGGTCAACATATTTTCTCATAATCGATACCAGACACGCGACAAAGTAATATCCTATCACTGGCTATGGCACTTTGGAAAAAGAATAAATTACTATTGATACGAGATGAAATCGATAAATTATTATCAGAATTTTATTTAAGCTATAATCATAAAAAGTTATTTTTTAAAAGCACGATGGAGTTCGATTAAACTTTTCCATTCATAGAGGTAATATTTAAATAAAATCCAGAAGAGATCTGACTATAAAGTTAGTGTATGGTATATTCATATATAAAATCTAACTTCCTTTCGCTGGTAGTTAATTTTTGGAGACGATCGACCGAGCCATTTTTTTAGAAGTAGCAGAATATCAAATCGACTTTGGAAAAAATTGAGCATAATAAATATTTGAGGCCCACCACAAGTGGTTCAATTGAAAAAAAATGAGTTTTCTGATAATCGTATACTAAAACTTACAACTTGCTAGAGGTATATAAAATATTTTACAGTATTTGAATGCAATAAAATTATGCACATAACTGCTGTAAAATAACAGCATTAATTACTCTATATCTGATAGATATTTTTATATCTATCTATATATTTATACGTTTTTAGATAAAATTATTTGCGGAATTTTCTGCAATAAAATTCATAAACGTCATTATTTTCATTGAGTATTATTTTTGATAATAAAATAGAATATTGATAGGTAAATTTTATGGTTGCTCTTGTCGATGTAAATTAAAACACCAAGTTTTATCATTTATCGTTGCTAAAAAATTATATTATATAGGATTGTCTAAAATGTCTTTATCAAAATAAGATTCTTGTTATAATCAATAATTGATTTTCATATATTTAACATTTTATTGTTATTCATAATTACTGGATGCTTTTTATAAGCATCAAAAAGCTTTTTGAAAAATAGTTTTCTACATGATCATTTTTGCAATATACTTTTCAATACACATCGTTCTATTTTGCGTTCTTGAATAGATTTTTTTACGTATTCTAATAAAATTTCAAATAACTGTGTTTATATTTTAAAAGACATCGACCAAATAAAACTGTGCAGCATTAATTTATTATTATAACTTATTACTTGTTATGATTAAGGGCAGCTTATTTGCGAAGTTTAGTATAAAAAATTGAATTGAATAATTTATTACAGACGCAAATAGGATCTTCCAAAAAACTTATTAATTACTACCTACAATTGCCTTTTAAACTAAAATGCTAAACACTAAAGACTTTGTTTTTTTTTGCAAAACAAATTTAACCGAATTGTAAAGAAATTCAAACTATCCATGCCTAAATGAGCACTGAGCATGCTGATTATATACACAATAATTATTTTTCTCAAATTTTTATCTTCAAATGCAAAATAAATCTGTATGCCCTACATATGCAAGGTTCAAGTGGTGATATTTAACTAATATTTTTCAAATTTTTAATGCTAAGATTATGGTTAATGTTTGTGTTAAGGTAATCTAAATATTCAAAGTACCATGAAGGAGGAAAAAATGCAAACTTTCAATTTCACTTTAATGTGTCCAGCAATTATTGCCATATGCATAATGCATACGTTAACTAGTTCAGAAATTAAAAGTTCATATGTTCCTCAATGGCAATAATCCATAAAGTAGGAAGCTTGGAGGAATATGAATTAGTTATCATGTTTATCGATTTTGACATCAGTGAAAATAACCAGCTGATGGGTAGCATAGAGCCGTAATATTAGTTGAAATATAAAATTGTCTTTAAATTTTTGCAACTTATCATTCATAAATAAATATATTGTTTATGTATTATTTTTGCTATTCATCTATTTATCAGAAAAGTGTCGACAGGAATCATAATATATAATTTTATACTAATTATTAATAGTCTTATACAGGGCTTCTTAAACGTTTGTCTTTCGCAACCCAATATTTTTAGAAGATATATTTATATGGTAACAATATACATATACAGATGCATAAGAAAATATATAGTTTTAGAATTCGTTGTAAAACCTACAAAAACCTAGACGTGATGTTATAAAATGATACAAATATTTGACATTAAAAACTCTCGAAAGAATTTTTCTGCGCGATCTCATTTAGAGTCGCGACTCATAGTCTAATACATTTATATTTTTTTAATACGTAAATATTTTAATGACTAAGATCTTATCAAATATTATTAATCTTATTTTTAAAAAATCATTATTCGATTCAATTCGATATTTCAAGACTTCTTTAAGTGAAGAGTTAAGTGGATTTGTTGCATATTGTCAACTTAATAATTACTTCCACAAGTCAAAAACCTATATGAATTTCATTCATAGTGCTTATTTAACCTGGAAAACTGTACATTAATTTAAAAATATGTTAAATAAAGCTAAACTAGCCAAGCCAAAAGACCTCGTAGAAGTGGTTTTAACATTGTCAATTTTAATTGACAATGTCATTCACAAACTTTTTACCGTCTGGCTAAAATTTTGGTTGATTAGTTATTTAGTACCGAGATTGCTATGACTATGATACAACGTCATTTCTGAATTTTTGGTTTATCAGTTAGTTAGTACAAAGATTATCATGATTATGCTAGATTTTTTATAGCAATTTTCTGCAATTATACCACTAAATTCTATGTAATTTGGTGTAATAATTCATAAGAGCTTAAAGGCTGGAGCAGGTTACAGGCCTGTTGATTTGGATGTTGACTTAGCCGAGTCTGGAGCAGAAGTTGTTAATTTCTTTAACAGTTGAAATACTAAGGTCTCGATGTTTTAGCCAGTGTCAAAATTCTATTCTGGAACCTCTGTAGAATTGCTATGTTTAATTTACTAGCCGCATCCCATTGTTGTAGACCGTAGGACCATATTGGTTTACTAATAGTCTTGTATATTAGGAGCTTATTTTCTATGAAATTTGTGATTTCCTGCCCAATACTCAATTAAACTACCTACGTGTCAATTTGAGCTGCTGGCGTTTCTTAATTATATGTTAGATCAGATTTAGGACCGTTCAAACATTTCAGGACATAATTCTAGCGGTATAATTACACGACACCTGCAGTAAGTTATGATTTCAAAGAACACTGACCAAATTTCGATCAGTACAAGAATTTCACATAAAAGAGGCAATCCAGGCATTTTATTTCTAAGGTATTTATTATAAACTATTTTCAAGACCAACAGATTTATATAAGAATCTAGAACTATCTTTCTATATCTAATGATAACAGTACACCTCTGGATTGATTTTACAGAAAATGTCTTGCAACGTAAAGGTTGATTGGAGAAGAATAGACAACTATTGTACAATTAGGGGTTGAATGTAGGACAACCAGTGCGTATGTAGGACAAAATGGTGTCATGATGAGACGTAGTTTTATTTTTAAGTATGAGCGAAGTCTATTTGAGAGTGGTTCTATTGGTGTTAAGAGGTTATTGTTGCGAAGCTCAATGAAAATTGTTTGAATATCCAGCTGTTATTTTTACCCAAATTATTTAACTAGGTCAACTTCATGGTAGTACTTAAATAATAGACCGCCTGTCTTTTGTAGATGGGGTTTTTAATTGGCCTCTTTAAAGAACAATATATTGAATATATGACCTAGAAACAACTGCTTTTTCTGATCTCATCTTCTTCAATTCGTTTGTGTATTGATTACTAAATGGTTGATTTTCTGAGCTAATTAATAGACTAGGAAAACTTAGAAGTATATTAACGTTGATATCTCAAATCTAATCAAAAATAACCTAATAAATTAGTTATTTCTTTAGGACAAGATTTCATAAGCAACTTAAATTCATAAAATATTAATGAATATTAATGTTATTAAAGCAATTTTTAACCTTATTTATTATACTCGAAAACTAATCACATTTAGAACCAGGCAATTTATTAATATTTGTAAAACAATGAATTATTTATTATTATTTTGTAAAACAATTAATTTTGTGTTAACTTCTACTAATTGGAATTGTAAACATCAGTATTATTATTGCATTTAATTATTTAATCTATAATTTTTAAAAAATTGGGATGATACAAGAGATTGTTTCTCTTGAACTCTAACAAACCTATAAAGATTATGATGATAGTTGTAATCATTTCACATTGTACCTAGAAATAGTTAAAACTAATTTTATTTGTGAATTGTTTTGTGTTATTTAGCGCACATGTAGTAATCTAAAGATTTTTTTACAGGATTAAATATCAAAAGATCCAACATAAGGATATGGATACATGACAAAGATATTGGAAAATTACAGCAAGTACTTTGGCAAGGACATGGTGATAAATTGCGAGCAGAGACTTCAAAAAATCCACGTGTGAGAAAGTTCTTGGAAGCTGTGCCACATTTAATGGTTCGATTATTCAAATTATATTTATATATGTACTACATGTTTATTATTAAAATTATTATCTTTGATTAATATTTGGCCATTAAAAAATTTTACTTATTAACTTCCCGAAGGAGAAGTTTATGTTTTCATCAAAAAATCCGATTCGCTAATTTTATGTTTTCTCGACGTTTCAAGCCATTCTGAATCGAATGAGACCAAATTTGGAAAAAGTATGTGTGTGTGTGTGTGTGTGTGTGTGTGTGCGTGTGCACCAACAGTTTTTTGCCGTAAATCGACGTTTTCTCGAAAACGGCTGGTCGATTTCAAAAATTTAAAAGCCATTCGATTTTTGTATCTCGACGAGAACTATTGTGTCAGTTTTGTGCAACAATCGGCCAAGCCGCGTTTCTTGATAAATGGGGCAGAAAGTGAAAAATTTTTCGTCTACGTTTTAGCCCGCATTCTGAATCGATTTTGAAAATTCAAAAACCGTTCGAAAGATATTGGTTGGGAATCGTGCTGATTAGTTTTTGGTAGAGATCGGCCGGGCCGTTTTCTTGTAATAAGTTTTTAAAAAAAAAATTTTGACGATTTTTATGATTATTTTTTTTGACGAAAGATACATAGTTTCTAGGTCATACTAAAAATATTACGGCCTACGGACAACTGGTTCAGCTTTAAAAATTCGTCAAAGTTTGCAAAAATCAGTATGGTCTTTTGGCATTTGTCAAAATTAGACTTTTGATTGACGTTTTCTCAAAAACGCCTGAACCGATTTTAGAAATTAAAAGCCATTTGATGTATTTCGGTGAGGACTATCGTTTGTCAGTTTTGTGCAACGATCTGACAAGCCGTTTCTTTGTAATTCGAAAAAACTTTTCGTAATATTTAAGCTCATCTTACCGAACCGATTTTAAAAAATCAAACACTGTTCGAAAGATATTAGTTGGGAATGAGGCTGATTAATTTTTGGTGAAAATCTACCGAGCCGTTTTCTTGTAATTAACTGTTGAAAAAAAGTGTTAAATTTTCGTCGACATTTAAGCTCATCTACCGAACCGATTTTGAAAAATCAAAAACTGTTCGAAAGATATTAGTTGGGAATGATGCTGATTAATTTAGGTGAAAATCTACCGAGCCGTTTTCTTGTAATTAACTGTTGAAAAAAGTGTTAAATTTTCGTCGACATTTAAGCTCATCCTACCGAACCGATTTTTAAAAATCAAAAACTGTTCGAAAGATATTAGTTGGGAATGATGCTGATTAATTTTAGGTGAAAATCTACCGAGCCGTTTTCTTGTAATTAACTGTTGAAAAAAAGTGTTAAATTTTCGTCGACATTTAAGCTCATCCTACCGAACCGATTTTTAAAATCAAAAACTGTTCGAAAGATATTAGTTGGGAATGATGCTGATTAATTTTAGGTGAAAATCTACCGAGCCGTTTTCTTTGTAATTAACTGTTGAAAAAAAGTGTTAAATTTTCGTCGACATTTAAGCTCATCCTACCGAACCGATTTTAAAAAATCAAAAACTGTTCGAAAGATATTAGTTGGGAATGATGCTGATTAATTTTAGGTGAAAATCTACCGAGCCGTTTTCTTGTAATTAACTGTTGAAAAAAAGTGTTAAATTTTCGTCGACATTTAAGCTCATCCTACCGAACCGATTTTAAAAAAATCAAAAACTGTTCGAAAGATATTAGTTGGGAATGATGCTGATTAATTTTAGGTGAAAATCTACCGAGCCGTTTTCTTGTAATTAACTGTTGAAAAAAAGTGTTAAATTTTCGTCGACATTTAAGCTCATCCTACCGAACCGATTTAAAAAAATCAAAAACTGTTCGAAAGATATTAGTTGGGAATGATGCTGATTAATTTTAGGTGAAAATCTACCGAGCCGTTTTCTTGTAATTAACTGTTGAAAAAAAGTGTTAAATTTTCGTCGACATTTAAGCTCATCCTACCGAACCGATTTTGAAAAATCAAAAACTGTTCGAAAGATATTAGTTGGGAATGATGCTGATTAATTTTAGGTGAAAATCTACCGAGCCGTTTTCTTGTAATTAACTGTTGAAAAAAGTGTTAAATTTTCGTCGACATTTAAGCTCATCCTACCGAACCGATTTTAAAAATCAAAAACTGTTCGAAAGATATTAGTTGGGAATGATGCTGATTAATTTAGGTGAAAATCTACCGAGCCGTTTTCTTGTAATAACTGTTGAAAAAAGTGTAAATTTTCGTCGACATTTAAGCTCATCCTACCGAACCGATTTTAAAAAATCAAAAACTGTTCGAAAGATATTAGTTGGGAATGATGCTGATTAATTTTAGGTGAAAATCTACCGAGCCGTTTTTTGTAATTAACTGTTGAAAAAAAGTGTTAAATTTTCGTCGACTTTAAGCTCATCCTACCGAACCGATTTTAAAAAAAATAAAAACTGTTCGAAAGATATTAGTTGGGAATGATGCTGATTAATTTTAGTGAAAATCTACCGAGCCGTTTTCTTGTAATTAACTGTTGAAAAAAGTGTTAAATTTTCGTCGACATTTAAGCTCATCCTACCGAACCGATTTTGAAAAATCAAAAACTGTTCGAAAGATATTAGTGGGAATGATGCTGATATTTAGGTGAAAAATCTACCGAGCCGTTTCTTGTAATAACTGTTAAAAAAAATAAGCCGTTTTTCATGAAACTTTTTTTGGCGATATACATCATGGTCTTATAGAACTTACTGTAATATTACGGTTTAAACAAGTAGTTTAATTTTAAAAATTCGTCAAAGTTTGCTAAAATTATTATCGTTTTTTTTAAAGTAGGATTAATGAAGTATATTATTTACACATTTTTTTTTGATTAAGTCGATTATTTACACATTTCGGGAAGTTCATGTAACTTGCCTCAAGGCTAAATACCAAACCAACTAGTTTATTTTGAGCATTTTATGCGATTTATCCTATCAGGCTAATTATAGAGAGCAAAAAAATTTTAGCCTTTCATTATTAAACATAACATGTTTAATTATTTTATTTCAATTTTTTTTTATTTGAGATATCCAAAATTGCATCTTGAACTTTTCCTTATTGATATACCGCAAGGGCCGAATTTTATGTATTCATCTTTACTTTCCCATTTGTTGTTTTAAAGTAAAATTTTTAACGTATTTTAAAAATAATGCGCAAAGATTAGTAAAAGATGCAAAGAAATTATATATTTCTTGAATTATATTGAAAAAAAAAAACTATATTGAAAATTTCATACCCGAATCCTGTGTTGGCGTCCCCTAAGGCGTGCGCTCGCATTTTTCGCATGCGTTGCATTCAAGCTAGGGCCGGCCCTGATTATTACTTAATTTCATATTCTAAGTGCTTTAATTTGTCAAACCCTGATCATATGTGTATAATTCAATCAGCCATGCATTTACTGTATCTTATATAATTTTAATTTCTGGCACATCTCGTCTTCTTTTTGGAAATAATAATGTAGACATTGCATTTTTCTTATTCATAGTCATAAATTTATTTAGGTTCATAAGTAAATTGAAATTTTTGGCAAATGACAGTTTTCATTTGTTTCTAATGTCAAACAATGTCTCAAATATTTTCAATATCAAACAATGACATGTCGTTTGTCGTTGCAATTTATACCATTTACTTCTACATTACTACATTATTTTTATAATCACATACATCCTAAAAACAGTCCTTAACAAACTTCAGAAAGATTTATCAAAATCCGAATAATCGTATAATTACATACATCATTACAAAAGAATAATATCTTAGTCCATTTATAAAAATTGTATCTACTAAAAGACAAGTCAAGATAAAAATGCTATAGGTTTGAATTTGTTACAAGTTCAATTAGGAATATTGAACTGGTTGGGCAGTTACTAAAATTTTTATATTTATTATTTTTTAGAACAATATCAAAGATGTCCATGAAGCTACTGTGGAGAATAAATTAGAACAACTAATTCAAACGACAGAGGATCCAGTGGTTCCAGCAATACTTTCTAGCAAGGATGCTAATGGTCTCACACCTTTGCACAAAAGTAAGGCACATTTGGAAATAAAAAGATCTAATTCCTATTTTTAACAAATAAGGCGTTACATATGAAATTAATTAAAAATATATAAAATTAATATTATATTTACTAGTGGACGGGTAAATAATAATGACTAAGACTCAAACATCAACTTTTTGTTCTAGTTTTCAATATTATAATTAAGTGCAGAGTCTATGTTCTATCAATTCTTAACAAAATATTTGATCTGGATGGGTATATCGAACAATCTATAATCAAAAGTTCACCTTTTTTGCAAAACTGGAATTGATTATTTTGCACATACCTACACACGTGCACATGCCTACACATCCAATACCACCGCAAAGTGGTAAAAATTACACAATTGATAACATGCTCGAGGCTATTTACTTCTTTAGTTAAAGTTATTTATACTTTTTTTAAATCCAGGCTGCAGGTCTTTGGGCATTCCGAGCTGGTGGCTTACATTTTGCGCAGGTGGCCAAATTCAGTTGATCTAGCCGATAAAGAAGGAAGAACGGCGGCACATTATGCTGCTGCAGCTCGAGATGGAGACAAATGCTTCGATATGCTGATACAAGCAGGAGCTGATCCGGCTAGATTGGATTCGGTTAGATAATTTTGATTAATCTTGTATTAAGTTAACACCGTGTGACCTTGAGCGGCGGTTGCAATGTGAAATCCACAAATTTGTCTTCGGCGCTGTGATATCTATATGGAACCTATGTGGATTTCAGATTGCTACAGCCGTTTGGTGGGTAAATTAAGATAATAAATTCCATCAATTTTAGACATTTGTTGTGACTTATATTAATCATCAGTGTATTATAACTTGAGCAACTCGCTATTAAAACAATTATAAGGATACAAAAACAAAACTAGTTGATATTAGTATTTTGCTTTGAGGCAAGTTTCATGAACATCTCGAAATGTGATTTAGATAAAATTTTCAACTGTTCATTTTAAAAATAAAGTTATCGCGTTCAATTTAATCTAAACATTGCGATTTCGAATAGAATTTTCTGAAACAAATTTAAATTAACCGTAATTATATTAATTATATTGCACAGACAAGTGTTTGTATGTCCTAAAATTGTAGCTTATTATTGATATTGTTTGACTCATCACATAACAAAAGCAACTTCTGACACCAATTTTGACCGAAACATTTCAGTATGTTTTATAAGACCATGATATTTATTGCCAAAAAAGGTTTATAAAAATCGGCAAATTTTTTTTTTTCAACAGTTGATTTCAAGGAAAAGGCCCTGTAGATTTCAACCTAAAACTAATCTCTATAATTACCTATCAATATCTTTCGAACAGTTTTTGATATTTTAAATTCGATTCAGAATTGAAAGGTAAAACGTCGACAAAACTTTTTTCACTTTTCGGCTATTTACAAAGAAACGGCTCAGCCGATCGTCGCACAAAACTGATAAAAATTAATCCATATCGAAATACATTGATTGGCTTGTAAAATTTTGAAATCGGTTTAGGCATTTCTGAATAAACGTCGATGAATAATCGAGAAAACGATACTAATTTTTGAAAACTTTAACGAATTTTTGAAATTAAACGACTTGTCGTAGGACCGTAATATTTAAGTATGATCTATAAGACTATGGTATCTACTGTTAAAAAAAATAATAACAATCGTTGAAAAGATTTTTTTTTAAATTTTATTACAAGAAAACGGCCCGACCGATCTCTATCAAAAACTAATCAGCACAATTTCCGACCAATATTTTTCGAAAGGTTTTTGAATTTTCAAAATCGATTCAGAATTGCGAGCTAAAACGTAGATGAAAAAGTACACCACTGTTGATGATGTACTATCACTCTGTGATTAATCATCATAACTTTATTAATTATTCATAAATAAATTACATTTAGAAACAAAAAGCACCAGGCTACTACAAGGCAAAACCAGCTGAATTGGAACGAGCCCTTTTAACAGTGATTCCAGAAGCTCCAAGAGTAGCCAGTAAGAATTTTCCATCGGGATGGGATTGGGGTATATTATCAGGAGCCTCATCACTTCAAGGTCTTAGCTCCAAACGGGGATCACAAATATTTGGACCCACCACTGAGAAAAACAACGCTAAGGTATAATATACAATCACTTTTGGTAAAGCAATATATTTTTCTTACCGAAACTCAAATTTTGTAAAAAAAAAAGTTTTTATTCCGGCATACAAATTTATTTTCAATTAAGTTACTAATAACTTTATTACAAAATTATCCAATTCATCTATTGCTTCAAAATTTAATTATGAATGAAGGTAATTAAAAATTAAAAATATTCATATTTCAAATTCATCTTTTTACAGATACTTCAAGTATTATTAATTCAAAATTGCATTTGTAAATATGAACATACACATCATGGTATTTAACTATGTTATCGTTAGTAGATTCAAAAATATTTCAAGTATTTGTATCAATCAGGCATGTTATAAGATCCAAGTAAATGAATTTTAGATTGTATGAGTACCAATGTGATATATTCCATGTCTACTGTTCAATAAAAAGAAAACTATGGCATCGTGCCTTAAATTGCTGGAACTTCCCGTAGTGTAATTAAACATTCGAAAAATAAAAATAATCAGTCAACAAAAGTGTCTATGAATAAATATTATAAAACAAGATCTTTCATTATTTGTTTCTTGTAGACAAAATGTGAGAACTTATTAGATTAGATACATTGTTTATATATGTTTGAATTGAAATATATAAAACAATCTAATTAAGCGGACTTATTGTTAGAATGAACATATTTTATTTCAAATGCATCAATTTTTTGTTCGCGAAAATATGCACTGAGTTAACAATTTTAAAATAGTCCAATCAACTATACAAACATAAAAAGTATTAGGATGTCTAGGATCTAATCGAAATTTCTGCACTTTTTGCTTTGTATCTTCGAAACGGCTGGGCCTCCCTATACCAAAAACTAATTATTACATCTCCACATTAATATGAATCCAATGTTTTTTGAATCATTCAAATCGGCCGATTTGTTCTCTCGAAACCTGCCATTTTTTGCACTGTTTGCTCCGTATCTTCGAGCTGATCCTGCCTTCGCCAGAAACTAATCAGCATGTCTGCTTATCAATACGAATCCAATGTTTTTTTGTATTATTCAAAGCGGTTCATCGGTGTTCCCGAAATCGTCGACGAAAATTTGTATCCGCACACACACACATACATAATTTTTTTCTGAAGTATGCCAAAATATTCAGGAACCGTAAAGACACGCAAAAAATGCGACTACTATAACTTACCCTATGGCAAGTTAGCTACTGGTATAAGAAATTATTAATAGAAATAGATAGCTTTCATGGAAATATGTCAACTAATCACTTTTGATCATCTTCTTTTTTGGACATCATTTCTAAAAACGAATTGATTATGGTTTCAGTACAAATTGGTCTCTTAAACTATTAAATTCAGTTCATTTCATATATCTGGACATCAAATTTCAATTTCAATATACTTATATGTTACAATTCTAAGCACCTAATACATTGTTATAACAAATTAAAAAATAATCAGTAATACTTCTTATTATATTTTGAGTTTAAGACTCGACACAAAAAAATCAAAATGTTCATCTAAAGTTTTTCAAAATTGCATCAAAATTTCAAAATTGTATCAAAAGTTTTTGGTACATCAAATAGTACATTTAAAAATAATCAAAAAGAACGTAACGACATCAAAAGTACTCAATTTTGAGT